CCTTCACTCTTTCTGTGTCTGTTTACTCCCAAGAGTGTCCAGCCTCAGGAAAAGATCAATTGGCAACTCACTTTGGATTAGGTCGATTCACTCTTGAGGAAAAAAATCTCTTTTGAGGAAAAAGTGAAAAAAAAATCGGAAAGTATTTGAAATGATGTACTTTAAGGAATGCTAAACTCATATAGGTATAAGTATTGGTTGTCATTTGATTAGATTACAGGAGATTTCGAAGTAATCTGGAGCAGTGTTGTCCAAACATTTTCGCCTATTGTACCCTTTATTACCTTCATGTACTGTTACGCACCCCCCACCCCCCCGTCCACCATGGCTAAACAGACTGTTTTATTCAGGATAATGCAAATAATATACTAATTATGAAAATACTGCATTGTTGGTCAATAAATTCGAATTCAATACACGAATAAAAAAGATGATTCATAGAACGTGATTTTTCTGTTTGTGTTTGTGTGTGTTCCTAGTTTGTTCAGTGTTTGGATAACACTGATCTAGAGTATTGGTGAGTTGCCAGTTTTTTTTCTATCAAACGAGCTATAGTTATTATTCCCAATTTCCTTTACTCAGGTTTTATTCTTACGACAGATTTTCGATCTAAGTTTCCTAAGTTTGTGTTCTTATCCTCTCGCCAAAGTTACTTGGTCATTTTTCCTTTTTTCTATGCCATTTTTGCCCGACTTCTCTTCAGATCATGCAGATATAAAGAGGGACTTTCTCATCCTCTTTGCATTATCAAACCATTAATGCACTTCCTGTCTGTTTCGTTACTTCTACGACCATAACTCGCCCGATGAAATTCAGGTCAGAATCAGCGGTGGTGGCGGCGGATTGCGTAATCAGGGTCCCGCTGGAGGAGCTATCATCCAGCGCTGTCCAGGCGTTTTGGAGTGATCTGTAGTACTTTCATGACGAAGAGTATTTTAAGAATGACCGATTTTATACAGATGAAGGCTCTAACAGTTTCATGTAAGGCAAACTTACATGAAGATTTGCAGGGAATACACACAGCCAATTTTAGCAAAGTCGCATTTACATAGCTTTATTATTCGCATATTTCTGTATATCGTGCATTATTAGTCTATTGGGGTGCAATATGTCAAACTGAAGAGGTAACTCGGATCTGCCACGGCTTGACAGATAGGTAATGGATAAGAAATAATTTCCAAACAATGTGCCACCCTTTTGTCATTTTAGTAAATTATGCTATTTGCCAATTATGATGTTCTGTCTTTCAAATTATTCCCGATGCTTTTTTTTAACATGCGAGTCAAATATTTCCATCCATGGCAAAATGTGATCAACACATGTTCAGCTGTAAAAGTGCTTCATGCATGATATGAAACTGTGATTCCGAATATAGTTTAGAGCGAAACAGATCTGGCAAGGCTCAATGGTATAGCGCTGGGTTTGCATTCGCGAGGTCCTGTGCTCGTGCCCGGCCGCCCCTCTCAGTCGACTCAGCTGTTAATGAGCAGTAGTATGCTGAGGAACATGTCCCCTACGTCCACATGGATATGTGACAAATTTTAATATCTCATAAAAAAGGGCAACTCAAAATGAATTCTGCTTTTATGCCTTCATAAACGTACCCATATATGAAATTGTATGTTTATGAAGATATCCAGTGAAAGAATGCTCGGTACATTGCGATATCCCTTCTCTGCAGCTGTGACTTGCGGCAGCGTTGTAGGAGCCAAGGTTGTGATCGGAGTGACAGCGGACTCCAACGAAATGGCACTGACCCATATGACCTTCTATGACCATAGCGTGACTGCCATTGGCGACCCTGTTTCGATGTCAACAACACAGTGCAACTCTGGATATTTCATTTCTAATGTGCTATGCTCATTGAAGAACATTACTTGTACGTAACTGAGGATGTATACAAAGTTGAACTCATGAACGTATCTCATTAGTGGTTTAATTAAAAGAATCAAAGCATGACATTTTTTTTCCATAGCTGTCGTATAATATGAAAATTCCCTGTTGGAGTAAACTGATGTTTTTTCATTTTGCATTTAGAAGTTCTTCAAGACTATTATAACATTTCCATCGTTCTAACACCGTCTACCTTTATCTGCATTTCCAGGTATAAAACTGGGAAACAGCCACTCCATCTGCGTTACAGGCTCGATTGGAGAAAATTGCCCCGACAATAAATTCATGACTGGATATACGTTGGCTGCAAACAAAAAAATCCAATCTATTAATTGCTGTTTGATTGGGCAGTGATTCGAACCATACGGAGACCAGAAGACACCTGATTATCTTTGACGATCTTGGCTGTTGTATCACCATGAAGATCCAGAAAGGAGGAATGAGACGAATGGAGAAAAGAGACAAGACGAAACGAGACGAGAAGAGAGGAGAAATAGACACGATCATTTTATCATGCTTAATCGAAATTTAGTTTGTGATATGTAGGGAACGCGAATATCTAACTTATCTTACTACAACTTTTAGCGTTTCACATTTATTTTCTCTACACATTACAAGTGAGATTGTAAAATAGTACAACAATAATCATTAGCATCAGCCATCTTTACTGTGAGAGTATGTATGTTATGTATTTTCTCTTTCTCTAAGTATACAAAGAACTACAAAGCTGTTTGATGTTCCACTGCATTACAATATGATGGTTTAGTTACGTGAAAGTATAAATTAAATTAATAAACGAACGAGCAATAAAGAATATTGATAAAATAGCCTTCAGCCTCCTCTAATGGCATGCCAATCATCTTGGAATCTTATTTAAAAATGATACAAATAATTGATACTGACGGGTATCTCCTGACTCAGCGATTCTGAAGCCACTAGAGCACTAAAATAAGATAAAATTTTATATATTAGATTATATCATATATAAGAAAATTACATGAAATGGAATGAAATCATCTATGAAATACCTGTATGAAACAATGAGATTATGTAAAAAAAAAAATCTACATAAAATAAAATATCATATACATAAAACTTATACAAAGCAAAACAAAAGTATGTATTAAAAAAATACATGAAATAAAATGAAATCATATTAATATTATAAAAAAAATCATATGAAGATTATATATGAAATAAAGTAAAATTATATATGAAATGAAACCAAACAAACCATAAAATAAACATTTGTATGATTTTGTCGCACCTGAATGAGCTGGCGGTGAGATGATGGTGATGGTAGGGAGCATGAAAACAATCCCTCAGTAACGAAGAGAATCGCTTCAGTACGCGCTTCACCATCATATCACAATCAACCTATTGGAACGCAAAATACATTTATTAACCTTATTTTCCCTTGTGCTCATCACACAGCACTAAATTCACAATCATTTCTTCCAGGTTGTCTGGCACATTTTCGTCACCATAGTGGAAGAAAATGAAAAACAAGATGTTCATAATTCTTAAGTCATTTTGCTGGAAATCTGATGCTTAAATTGCAAAACACGATTTCTGTAGCGTTCTTTAATAGAAAATCAAGCATGTAGGATGTAAGTAGATACATAATACATACATGCATACATATATATATATACATATATCTC